ATATATATAAAAAACGATAATAAGGATAGCGGGTTTATTAAAAATTAGATTTTTATAATAAATTAGCGAAATTTAAATAGTAAAAGTATAGAAATAAATAAATTAAAGTATTTATAAATCGTTATATAAAGGTTAAAAAGAGGAAGCTTTTTATAAAGGGGGGGGGCTTAATAAAAATTAATAAAAAGGACCGCGGGTAACTAACTTAATAAATTAAAATAGGGTAGTTAATTACTTAGAGTATTTATAATTAAAAAACGGATTAATAATAGATTTGCTTTAAAAATAAAATAAAGGGGTATATATTATAAATTAAACCTAATTAATAGATCTAAACTTTAGTTTAGATATTATTATAGTTTATTATACCGCTTTTATAGAGGTCCTATTTAAGCGCTTTTCTTTTATAGAACTTTTATAGAACTTCTACTTTAAAAACCTTTACTCTTTAGCTTAGATTCTATATACTAAAATCCCCTTAACGTAAACTTACGTAGGCTGGACTTTTAATATGCTAATATACTAGCTATCTCCTATAGCATGCGAGACTAGGTAAATACGCCATTTCTATTAACATCAAGATACCGAAATTTCTCAGTATTTTCATAGATTTAGTTAGTAAGAGAATTATAGGAGTAATAAGTTCGAAAATAAACAGGAAGAAAGGAAGAAAGGAGGTGAATCGATTGAGTGCTTCGTACAGTCATCCTTGTCTATGATTTATTCAGATCCACTCGTAATAGAGAGTAAGCGAGAGTAGTGTTTAGATTTCTCGCTCATAGCAATTGAGAGAAAAAAAAAAGCAAAATGAAGTGCACACGGCACAGGCAGAAAATTACATGATCTCTGGTTTGGTAACATTTCTCTGAGGCGGCCACCTGATGGCCGTATTCAAAAGTCAAGCTTATTAATTCGCACACTAGTGAGTGAGCTGTTCATCTCAGCTGCCGATCTAACTTGTTAATCTAGCCTGCCACAACGGTGAGTTTGGCATCCAACTGTAATCGCATTACTATATGTTTATGCTCTTGTGTGGGGTTCTACTGTTGCTCGAATTTCCATGCGTCAAACTCGCGCCAAGGTGGAAGGGAGACCATCATTCATTATAACTTAGTGAGGTATCATTGTTGGTGCCGATGCCCCCCGCCCCGTGCAAAAAGTCTTGGGAGCGAAGATAGCTCCGCTTGAGATATTCGAGAACATAATGTCGATCTCATACATGAGTGCTGTGACTAGAGAGGCGTTCGAACTTGTAGGCTGCCGTCTCCCGTCAGTAGCCAGCAGGAATGATGGCGCACCAACCCGGCTGGGATGTTCGAAGGGCCGGTTTCTCATAGGGATGTACAGTTAAAGAAGGCAGGATGGCAGCGATCTTTATATGCCTCGTGATCAGCTCAATGCTTGCTGGAATGGCGAGTGAGAGGACTTTAAGCGTCGGTGATGTCATATGGACAGTCAAAAACCCAAATAGCTGAGCCCGTGTCCTCTGCGGGCATTGTATGAGAATTGATAGTGAATTGCGGTGATTGATCGAGGTCGATCGATACCGCACTTGTCGCCTCCGAACGTTGGCGCATATCGACATGCACTGGCTTGGGTTGAAAATGCTGAGTCAGTTGTGCATCCCGTCTTCTGCCATCCTCTAAATGCAGAGTATCCGGTTAGATCTTTGAAGCCACGAGAATCAGGCCCTATAGCTAGCTACCAGCAGCCATCGGCTTCGGGTCTTGGTCATACCTTCAGACCAACGCCGTACATTGCGAGTGCTTGGCGTATGAACACAGAACTGGATCCGATGCACCCCTGGCAGTCTCATGAGTTCCCTTCATCGTGGAACTGGCCATCGTCTGCTGGCACTTTCCAGAGAGGCAGCGCCATGGGACGCCTTATGAGCTAAGCGAACGATGGAAGACAACGAATAATAGAGTTGGCGAAGTGGCACGATCTGTCTCTCATGCTGCCTTGACCGAGTCCTTATAGTCAGGCTGCCGGACAAGAACTTGTAGAGACCGAATAACTATACTAGCCTGCTGCCTTGATCTTGGATCCAGATGAGACTAGTCCCCAGGTGTCGAGAGCCCGCTTTTTGCAACGCTCGGCTTGTACTAGATCATGCCTGAATAGACCCCATCTGGATCCGTTGACCGGGCGTCCTAACTGGCTGGCCGACCGACAGCCGCTAGATAGGCCGCTTAAATCGGCGCGTTGACCGACTGGCTCAGAGCAGATAGAGGCCAGGAGAGGAGGCGAGATAAATCATTCAACGTAGATGACGGCACGAGAATGGGTTGCCTTGCTGTCTCACCCGGTGGCCGACTCGCTGCCGTGCCCATCCTCCTTTGACTGGATAGAGGGGACGCTAGATTTCGGTCGGCGGCCTCTCTTAACCTTGGGACGCTGCGTGTTCCCCAAGGCATCGTTTGGTGAAGCTTCCCGAGTACTGAAGATCATTTTAGCTACATGTAGGCGCCCGTCTAGAAATGCGGTTTGACTTGAACGACTTACTCCTTGTCCTTTAATCTTCGGCGTTTGATCATCTGCAGAGCTTCCTTACGCATGTTACATGAGAAATGCTCATTAAAATCGAGGGTGATTAGTTCCCACATGCAGTGGCGTTTGGTGTGTCGGTAATGATCAAGGAGGAAGAAGAGATACTCCTCCTGATCCTGGCGTCGGGCATTGGCACTAACGCTGGGAACGGAACGGTCCGACGCCTGTTGGGGGGTGGCGGCATGACTCGGAGAAAGATAGCCCAAGCAATGGATGCCCATGCGTGAGCAGTTTTGGCCTGTTGAGCTTGTTAGACATAGACTCGGGCCACGAAAGCCATTTGATGGACAAATAAACGCGACTAATTCAGCGAAGTCCAAACTTACATGAGGGACGCCCCTCGTCACAAGGCATCTTACGAATCTGACAGGTCTTGCAGCCAGGCTCCGTGTGCTGAGGTTGAGAGGTCTGCAATTGAGGCCTCGTAGTCATGACGACGTGAGAGGGATTCGGGCGAGCCACAAATGTCGGAGGCTCCAATGAATCCGAGGTTGGAGAGGCGGGTATGGAACCCGGGGCAGGAGGGTTGAGTACATCAATAAGATGGGGGGGCGTAGGAGGGTGACTCGAGCGCGACGAAGACATGTTCACATCGTCATCCGGGTCGCACAGCACGTTCTGTAGGTCCATGACGGAACATCGGCTGGGCTTGGGGTCTGAGCGCGGGGTAAGAGTGGCATAGCCATGGCTGGCGTTGCTAACGAAGCTAGAATTACTGTGATTTCTGTCGTGGTTGCTGCCGAGGACGCCGAAGGTGGTGGGATGAGAGGGTGTTGGCGACGGCGATGGGGGAAATCTGAGCGCGTCATGACGGGAGGCTGCAGCTGCTGCAGCGGAAGGACCCGGCGTGGAAACCGAAGTCACACCCGGCGGCGGAGCCGGAGCTGGACCGGCAGCCAAGCGGCGGTAGTAGGTCGGCGGCGGCGGCGGATGGTTGACGGAGAAGGAATAAGGTTCGAGGCGGCCGGTAGCATGGGCGGTGTCATGGCGCGACGGGCGAGCCAGCGACACCGACATGGACGGGACTGAGGGCGGAGGAAGTGGAGGCGGAGGAGCTGGAGGAGGCTGAAGAGTCTCCTCTGAGGGTGAGAAAACAGCAGCAGCACCAGATGTGGCCACGACCGGCCGGTTGTCGGCTGCGACGGTGACGGCAACGGCGACGGCGTTGGGGTTGGCGGGCATCCGCATCGTGTCTCAGTTCCAGTTCCAACAGTCCACGTCCACGTCCACGTCCACGTCCACGTCCGCGTCCACACACTGCACACTTCCGCCGGGTGCGCGAGCGGGCGAGTAAGGGGAAATCCGAGGGGGCGGAGACGAGACGGGATGGCTTTTGACACGTGGAGGAGGCTCCAGCTTTCAGCCTCTTCCAAGCAAGGCGAAGCAAAGGCAGAGCAGAGCAGAGCAGAGCAGAGCAGAGCAGAGCAGAGCAGAGCAAAGCAGAGCAGAGCAAAGCAGAGCAAAGCAGAGCAAAGCAGAGCAAAGCAGAGCAAAGCAACGATAATTACCTTGCTGTATTCGTACCCATACGTACTCCGTACAATAATTAAGCTAAGGCATCCGTAAGCTAAGCGCCCACTCCCTCCTTTCGCGTGAGCCTGGCTGCCGTTGCGCTCGCTTGGCTTCGCTTCGCCTCCTCTCCTCTCCTTCTCTCTTATTCTTTCTCTCTCCTCTCCATGCGTCTTTCCTCAGCGGTAACCAGTTGCCAGGACTGGACTGGACTGGACTGGACTGAACTGGATTGGACTGGGCTGGACTGAACTGGAGCAATAGACGGAAACATGGGCTTGTCGAATGTGGGCTCGAGGATAGACTAGGGCCGGAGACTGTGACGAGGGGCGGAGCAGCACCATCAATCACCACCACCACCATTACCACCACCACCACTACTACTACTGAGTACGGAGTACCACCACCGCCAGTTGGCAATCTTACCTTGCTATACAGAAAATGGCCGGTGCTCGTTCGGATAAGGTACTGTGTAGACGGTAGAGAAAGCAGGGGCTGTGGACATCTTTCCCAATGTGCTTCAGTTTCCGTTCTTAGGTATCCGTAGCCTGTCACTGTGAGCCGTATTAACTCCAGTCTGGATCCGTACGTACCATGAATTACTCCGTATTATCCGGACTGGCTCTCCATATGTACAAAGCAGTCTTGTGTCTTTGTTTGGCGGCTAGGTCTGTACGTCTGCGTGAGTACTGTATCCATCCGTACGGAGCAGGTAGCTGACAAGCCTGACAGGAAGAATTGACATGGATGATGGGGGATTCATCATTGATGGAACGGATGGATGATGCGGCGTGGCATGACGGGCTCACGGCGGTCTGGACGCGTCCTTCTCCATCTCTCCGCTCCCCTACACGAGGATACGTACTCGACGGGAATCCACTCTCGGTCCTAAGGTCAGGGATTTCCCCCAATCAAAGCCCGGGCGGTTACAAGCCACCCATTCTGCTGACGAAAACGACTTGTCATTGGCTCCCCTGATTCGGTCCATTTCGGCCAGGTCCGCTCAACGGCTAATTTGCGGCTTCCTGTCGTTGTCACACGGTGCAACTGCCAACTGCAACCTGATGGGAAGCTTGCCCGAAGGCACCTTTCCTATGTACACTACTCCGTACTCCGTACCTTCCTTACCTGACCTACGGATACTTGAGGTACCTAGGTACCTTGCAATGTAAGGTAAGAACGTATCGCTCCTCTGTCGGTTCAGGCCTTCTTCCCCATCCCCCCCCCCTCTCTCTCTCTCCTCTCTCTCTCTTTCTTTCTCAGTCAGTCTCACTCTCAAATCTCACTCTCAAACCTCACTCCCAAATCTCACTCCCAAATCTCATACCAAACCCGCCTATCCCACTTATATGACCCTTTCCCTTCCCTGGACCACTAGGCCCCCCCCCCCCAACCCTTCCTTCCCATCTCTTTCTCCAAGCCTCGGAACTTTCTCTCCTGCGGATACACACGTGATGATATACAGTCTTGTGTACAGTATGGATACCAGCCCCCTCAGGCCAGATCGCAGTTTGTTTGGCCAAGTAATTTGGTACAAACACACGTCCACATCTTGTAAAAAAAAAAAAAAAAAAAAAAAAAAAAAAAGACAGGCCTTCTCCCTCCGAAGAGCGTTTCCTGTCCATAGTGTTTTTTCAGTTTGCTCTCTACTCCGTAATGGATGAAATCATCTTCTTTTTTGCATGAGCGTTGTCTCCACGACCCCATCCCTGAACCAAAATAAAGGCACTGATTGCTATGCGTATTCCTTGCATCCAACCATATATTCTTTTGCTTGATTGAGTCCAACAGGCATGGTGGCTTTTAAGGTTAAATCCTGCCTCACCCCCCTTTGACACAACCACAGGGGAGCCCCATGCATTTGCATCATGGCCACATGATGGAAGGACTTTGCCACTTTTGCCTCAAGGTTCTCAGGCGGGTCTACGACGCCGTGATCCGCTGTCCAACGCGCACACGAATTACCAGTAACGGCATCCAGAACTCGCGGTTGATAGCATGAACTTAGGTACTTCAGATGAAGTGAGACAGCGGAATGTGACGGATCTTTGGTACTTCCTTAGAGCCGAATGCTAGGGACGGCCATGGGGCTGACAGACAGTTGTGCAGCTGTCGCCCTCGTTTGGGTCATGATTGCATGTCTTTCTCCAAGACTCACGTTGTCAATGACATGCGTTCAGATACCAGTTCAGACCACTTCCCACTACGTTATTTCGAGCCAGGCGCTAGGGTCAGGCTTCCCGCTCCACAGCAGCTGGATGTTATGACAAAAGTAAGATTACTCGAGACTGCCATCAATAAGTAGTACTTCTCTGATATCCTTACCGATTAGCGATACTTTAACCCGGGTCTCATGTCTACGGGACACGATTCTTCAACAATATGGGGTTTCCGAGATTTCGATCACCACATCAGTCTCATAATCATAATTTAAACGAATATCAATAGGATGCCCATGTCTAAGTCTGTAGAACAAATTTTCCATTTTCAGTTTCAGTTTGAGCTAAGAGAGACCACGCCCCTTTCCAGTCAAGCCGCTGGCGAAAGGGTCCGAAAGTTGCATGTTTTCATTAAGTGAGTCGCATAGATCGACTCAAGCTGCTAATGGATGTTATCATAGAAATTAACGTTCAAAACATGCTGACCTTTCTGCTGCTCGATGTCAAACAACTTCCGAGGCTACTAGTAGAGAGAGTCCCACCACCCACGCATGAGTCCCAACTTCGCAAAGCAGCTTTCAGGATCATGTATTCTACGTTTGGTGGACGGAGGAATGCGCAGAGGCCCACAGAGCATACCGTGCTGCCCGCAACCAACAAGCCTGGGAGACGGAGCAAGATGCGCACCTTTATCTAATGGAGAAACGAAAGGCGTTCCTGAGCACGGTGAGGAAGGCTAAGCGAGCATACTGGGCCGGAAAGATCGATGGAGTCGCTTCAGACCGGGACCTGTACCAGATCATGGGTTGGCGGAAGGCGAGCCCACTGACCAGAGCACCCCCATTGGTTGTGGACAACCAGACGATCGAGGATACTGACGAAAAGGCCCAAGCGCTTCGGGAAGCCCTTCTCGACAGGTTTAGTGCGGAAGATGACGCACCGGGTAATCCGTTTGACGTACCCGTCGTCCCAAGGCGAGCGATTACTTGGCAGGACAATGTTAGCGGAGAAGAAGTGAAGACGGCCACCTTAACAAAGACAACGACCCCTGGTGTGGACGGGATCACCACGCGCCTCCTCCAGGCCTGCTGGGGCGTCATCTCGGAGCCGGTCAGGCAGCTATTCCAGTCCTGTATGCGGGCCGGCCACTTTCCTCTGCCTTTCCGCAGAGCTGAGGTGGTCATGATCCAGAAGGCCGGCAGGGATGCCTCCAAGCCCGGGTCCTGGCGGCCGATCGCGCTCCTCTCGTGCTTGGGCAAAGGACTCGAGAGACTAATAGCCAGAAGGATGGCTTCTCTGGCGATTGTCGAGCGCATCGTCAGTCCGCAACAGATCGGAGCTCTACAAGGCAGGTCAGCCGTCGATCTGACGACCTGCCTCGCCCACGATATCGAAACGGCCCTCCTAAAAGGGCTCACGGCGACGCTTCTGACTATGGACGTAAAAGGGGCGTTCGACTCCGTCCTTCGGAACCGGCTCGTCATTAGACTGCGTCAGCAGGGATGGCCACACGGCTTGATTAGACTCATCTTCAGCTTCTGCTGCAACCGCATCGCCAGAGTCCGACTGGAAGAAAGCACGACGGAATACTTTCCTCTGTCATGCGGGCTGCCTCAGGGGTCGCCACTATCTCCCATCGTCTTTCTGCTCTACATCGCGGAGATCCTTGAAGACGACCCGGACGCGCGATTCGGGTACGCGGACGACATCGCCACTCTGGCCATCAGCCCCTCCCTGGAGAGCAACGTCGCAATACTCAACCGAAGCGCAGCCGGCATTCTCAGATGGGGCTCGGAGAACAAGGTCTCCTTCGACCCGAGCAAGTGCGAGGTCATCCACTTTACTAGGAAGCACAGCCAGCCAGCGGAGCTGCCAGAGGTCAGGGCGGGGGATTTGGTGGTCAAGGCCTCGACAAATCCTGTACGCTGGCTGGGTGTCTGGTTCGACAAGAGACTGTCCTTCCGGCACCACGTCGACACAAGAGTAGCTGCGGCAAAGAAGGCAGCTCAACACCTGAGGCAGCTTACAAACACAAAGAGAGGACTGCCAGCGGCCGCCGTGCGAAAAGCCGTCGTCTCCTACGTACTGCCGATCGCGCTCTTCGGCGCCGAAACATGGTACGCAGGTATCACGAAGCCGGCTTCGAGACGCCAAGCGGAGACAGACACGAGTCCGCCTTTCCAAGGAAGACCCGTCAACACAGGCCAGAAGGGGCTCGTGCAGAAGATCGACAGCGTCATTACAGCGGCAGCAAGGATCGTTCTACCTGTCTGGAGGACAACGCCAACCAGTAGCCTCCTCCGAGACGCCGGCTTACCGTCAGCCAAAGTCGCCTTAGAAGGCGTCCGTTTACGGGCCGCAGTCCGACTACAGAGGATTGATCGCCGACACCCGCTAGTCGCGCGGCTCTCCCAGCAGGGACAGCAACAGACGAGACTACAACGGACGGCTGAACTTCTGCCAAGATGCGGAAGACCAACGTTCCTCCAATCACAGTACCTGCCAAGCTCACAGGATCAGATAGTAGTTCAATGCAAAGAAGAGGCTGCGAAAGCTTTCGAGCGCTGGCTAAAGACAGTACCGGAAAGCCATATGATCGTCTTCTCGGACGGCTCCAGGGCGACGAACGGAGCCGTGGGGTACGGCTTCGTCATCTACCGAGACTCCAAACGCATAGCGCAAGGGTGCGGCCGACTCGGACTAGCAGAAGTGTTCGACGCCGAGGTCGAAGGGGCGCGAACCGGCCTCAGAAGGGCTCTGCTCACCAATCGCGGTCATCCAATCCACATATGTATCGACAACACCAGCGTTATACAAGGCATCCGCGGCAAGGCGCCGGACTCGTCACAAGACGCGTTCCTCGAAATCCAAGAAGCGGCCAGGATATTTGATATACGGACGCACTGGTCCCCGGGACACCAGGGCATCGAAGGAAACGAGGCCGCGGACCGGCTGGCCAAAGAAGGAACGACACTGCCGGCGCGGATGGGTCAAATGGCAACACTAGCGGGCATCAAGCGGCTTGCAAGGGAAAAATTACAAAGCCAGCACAGGAGATGGTGGTATAAAGAGCGAAGGCCGCGGTACGCGGACTTGGGGCTTGAGGCAGCTCTGTCCAGCCCTCCTGAACTGGCCTTGCCGCGGGCTACGTTACATCACCTGCTGGCGGCACGATCGGGTCACGGGGACTTCGAGCAATATCACCGACGTTTCAACCACGACGACGCTCTAATGATGTGCTCTTGTGGAGAGGCGAAAGACGTGGACCACCTGGTCTACTGTCGACTAACGCTGGCGAGGAGGCAACGGTGGCCGACCCTCCACTCTCGCAGTATGCCCGAGCCCATAGGTCCTATGGGATCTCTCGAGGCCTACTTCAAGAGATTAATCACCGACCCACGAGGCTTCGAGGCCTTTCTCCGCGTGACGGACTTCTTCCAGAAGATCTGTCTGCGGTAGCAGCATCCACACCTAGGTAGATGTGAGTGCGGACTACAAAGAACCTCCCGATTCCAAGGGACGATTTGGGAAAGAATGAAACTGGGGCACCAGCGGGAACCGGGGACAGACAGAACGCGTAGTGGCCACAAGGCATGATTTGGAGGACGATGTAAAGAGACGACGTACTGTAGAGTAGGTAGCCTTGGCTCACGGCCCTCCACGCCATATACCCTTCGGGAGGTCTGCGGTAAGGGCTCTAGCCCGGCCGCCACGGCGTTAAATACAACAACAACAACAACAACAACAAATCCCCGCTGTCGGTCCTGGTTTAACGACCTCGTCACTCCAAAACGAAATGACGATGTTGAGAGCAGTAATCTCAAAGGGGATCAAGATGGCTTCGTAGAGGAAAAAGTTCCATCCGGCGAGAAACCCAAGTGCGTCATCGACCCAATACCCAGCGAGACGAACAAAGCCACCTGCGACGGGCATGTAAGTGTTCATCTCAGCAACAGAGTTGTTGACGAGGGCGAGAATTAGGGTATAAACGGTGTAAGCAATCAGCAAGCTGCCGGGGCCACCTTTGGCGAGACCACCGCCGATGCTGATGAAGAGTGCCGTTCCAATGGAGCCACCTGCTGCGATGAGCTGGATTTGGCGATTGTTGAGCCTCCGATGCAGGTGACCCATCTTATCTTCGGAGTCAACATTCCGGATGCTACCGAGCTCGGCGGTCATCGCGTCGCCGGAGCTCGGGTGCTTCTCTGTACGCGACTCCTTCATTGTGGTAGCGTCGGATGAGAAAAGAAATGAAGGCCGCAGCCGTTGAGAGGTACCACGAAAAGGAACCGAGGACGGATGAGATCAGAAATTTTTAATCACAGCAGCGTGTAAAGTTTGCGACACCTGACGTCTGGCAACTTTCTCGGAACGAAAGAGAAGGGAGTGAGGGAGAAGACCAGCGTGAGGATGAGGGGGGAAAGAAGTCGCTTTTGTTAAACAACTAGCAACAACAGGCTTGTCGATTGTTATCGGACTGAATGGTTGGTATCTTCAGAAACCGCGTCCAGACTCCAGAGACAGATTAGCTCCACGCCGGCCAAGCATGCCTGTAAAGCGAAGGCAAGCACGGCAAAGTGGTTTGGCAACAGCACCAACACCGACGTTGCCTGGAACACAACACGGAATCCCCTTGTATGTCGTATCGCGTCAGGGGCCGGGACAACGATAAGGGAACAGGGACCAAGATTCTTGGCCTCGTACTAGTTGAATTTGAGCCTGTGTAATTGGTTGCACCCCGCGTCCGGCGTTCATTTCTTGATTCATCCTAGCACTTGGCACGCTTCCAGATAGAGTGCTACGTCAGCCTAGCTGTCTAAACCTTGTCGACACGCATCGACAATCATCGCTGTCGGACTACGGATACCTTACCTAGTATGTACGTAAAGGTCAGACTGAGTACCTGATTATCGAAGAAAGTAAATTCTTTATAAGTCATAAATATAAAAAAATAGTTTTGATAGAATAATATAATACCTATTTAAAATTTGAATTAATATACTTTTGAAGCTTATTATTTAAACAAAATAACTATATTACTAAGTACTTTTTATTAAAATTTATAATTAATATTATAGTTTAAATTATAATAATTTTAATTATAATAGTTATAAAGTTTAATTACTAGTCTTTTAATAGTCTTTATTTAAAAATATAAAAGCCTTTAAGTTAAGCTATAAATACTTTTTGATATATAAAATTTACTATTTGTTATTATTGTAAATAAAATAGAAAATAATAAATTAAATACTATTTTAATAGCTTTATTTAAGTTAATCTAGCATAATAGCTTATAACGAGGTTATAAAGGTTATTTTTATAAAAGAATAAATAAAGTAAATATTAATATAGAAATAAAAATGTATAAATATAAAGGGTAATAAATATAATAAATAAGGTTTATATATTTAAAGAGAGTAATATAGTTAGATTACTATATAAGAAGTTATTTACTTAACGAAAGGTCTAAGTAAGTAAAAAGACACTTTTATATAGGTATAAAAACATCCTACTAAAATATTCTATTACTTATTAATTATAATATAATTAATAAGCGTATATATAAGTAAATACGTAATCGTAATATATAATACTACTTTAGGTAAATTTTAGAGTATTTCGTTACTTTCTAACACTTTATATAGCTTACTTAAGCTTATATAAGCAGTATCGCTTACATAATCAATACTTATAATAATCTATAAAAATTTTAGATTAATATAATATATAATATGCTTACGTAATATAGAGAATAAGGCAAATAATAAGGTAAATAAATTTATCTTTATAGTAGTTAATTATAATCTTTTTTATATAATAATATTACTATTATATATTAAATACTATTTAAATCAAAAAAAGCTTCTATTTATTAATATTAATAAAAATACTATTATAATAACTTATTTTAATATAGTTATTTTATTAAAAAGAATTTATTTATTAAGTTAATATAAATAGCTAAAATAAACATATAATTATTCTACTTATATTTATTATTATTTTCAAAATAACATTTTTTTAATAATAAATAAATATAGTAGTTAGCTAGCTTTTAGTATTTTTTAATATAAACTTATTTTATTATTATTAAATAATAACTTTAGTAGTTTTTTAATAAAGAAGAGGGTTAAAAAAAAGAGAAAAGGGGCTAAGGGTAAGTAGTACGGAATTTAGGGGTAGGGTAGCGCCTATATATACTATAGTAATCCTTTAGTAATATAGAACGATAGTGTTAAACAGTGGTAAAGGTCAGACTGAGCATCTGGGCTCTTTTTTGATTAGATGGCTTGCGCCCGCTGCAATAGGAGAACCACTCCACGAGTCTCCACATCTACCAACGGGCGGGGTTGCGAACGCCTGGAGTACCTGGGCGAACCACGCAGTCACAACAGGTAACTTTGCCCTTTGCGACGGCGGAACGGCCGCCATTGGTACACATCCGAAGCCGACCCAAGTATCCGTATCCGTACGGTACCGAGCAGGAAGTAAGTATCTTGGCACGTGCTTGGTCCGGTTCAATCCGAGCGCCTGGGGGAAGTACTTTCCGCACGGGGTAGCAGCTTACCTAAGGCAAGGTAGGTCAACGGGACGGTCAGAGTCTTGGGTCAATCACGTGAGCTGCCATGGCAGCCCCTCTTCTTCATCCACCAATGGCCGAGAATGAAAAGTGAATGGAAGTGTCGCAATGCTGCCAGCAGGCCTATGTGAACACGGAGTCAATAAACGCTCAAAGACCAACCTGCGGTACCGACCCGCCTTTGTTGAAAAAAGACAATGACTTACCTTACCTAGTCTCCGTCTCCTCCTACGTACGGTTGTCTTCATAAGGTGGGATGAAGCCACCGGCCAGGCACTCGTGCTATGGACCTTTTTCAGATACTATTAGCTTGGACTTATCCTACGCGATGAAAGTAGGTTTGTTGGCTGTCACGACTGCCTATTCATGTGGCGTTCCCTTGACAGCAGCAGGTATCTTTCATAATTCTATGTGCGTTATTCAACTGGGATACTGCCACTGGCGACGGTGACATTTATACCAAGATTTTTATGGCATGGTCAATCCATATTAGATCATTTCTGTTGTGTGTTTCTTGGCTAAGACCCCTTGCACCAAGCTCTTCGAAGCTCTGGACCAGTCAAACAGGAAGAGCACCAAATTCCTTTCGACAAACCATGCTCTCTTCTGGTGATTTCAAATGCGCCAAGGAAAACTGGAAGAGATAGATAGCCCAAATCTAGCGGATTGTGATGCACGAGGTTCTGACGTCGCAAATACATCCATGCCCATCGGTGCAATGTTACTCGATTTGAGTTTTCGGTGATTTTGACTCGATCTGCCGCCGGGAGATTACAGCTACTAGAGGATTTCCCGATATGACGTCAAGATGATATCCGTATTCCACAGTGAAAAACGAGGTTATCATCAGACGTTCTCTCAGACAGCATCGCCCATTTAAGTCTCCTACTACAGAGCTGACGGAGAGCAGGCACGACAACGGATCGCAATACCCTTTAATTCTAGTAAGTGACGAAAACACCAGATAGTGGGTTATGAACCTACCAGGTCAGTTCCATTGGTGTTTGAGCATTCTGGAGAGAGTGGATAGTATTGTTGGATTGCCCAGAGGGACGTGACAGGCGAATAATTGAACAAGATCCTAGCCCGGGGCACTTCATCCCGATATAGTTGCACAGCATCTATAGGTATGGCAAGTTAGTGCACAACACAATGCTCAATCCAGGGGGGAAGCAAACCCATGAGACGGCGCGTGATCACCGGCGTCGGACTCCCCCGAACGCCGAAACCGACTCCCGTTCCGGTCCAGTCTATACCCTGCAATTCTTCTGAAAGAAAGTCCAGGCCATCTTCAGGGCCGAGAAGAACAGCTATGATCACATCAGTGTACGGAAACACATAGTAATGGAAAAAGTAGCAAACCCTTGATGTTATAGCCAGCCTTAATAATTGCTGCCATGTCTGTTCGAATACCGGCCTCCACCTGTTTGGGAGTGAATCCACTTGCTGCAACAGCAGGATGATTCCAGGGTAGACCTCTGTAAAACGATTGTGTCAGTGTTCGTATGAGAGTGACGGGGATTGCAGCGTCTCTTGTTCCTGATTTAAGATGCCTACGTGAAAACAAAATTTCGTTTGCCGCAACCCGATGAGCATTTGCCGGCCTTGAAAGACCCGGATCTTGAGGCGACCAAAGTCACCGCGTCGCAATTGATGGGCGAAGCCGCAGTCATAGACCAGAGTCCACATGCGATAAGTGCCCAGGAATTAATCATGATGTTGTTTAGTTGAGGAAAGTAGCTGGACGATGGAGTGTCGAAGGGATGGCCAGGAATGATAAAGACGGCGGAACTCAACGTTCTTGGTAGAGACATGACTGCTGTGACTTTACAGCTTTTGAAATAAGGTTGAATCCTTCCCATGTTTTCACGGCGAACAAGGTTGTGAAGCCCTCCATCCCTGGTGAGTTTGCACGGATGATCAAGACAAGGCGGCTGGCTTTAGTTTATTTCGAAACCCCGCATCTAACAGCACCATGTAATGACTTTCCGAGCCTAACTTAATTAAGTTCTTCTTGACGTCGCGATCTAGCGGGAATTATAACATCTACTGACTAGGCCTGCTCGGCTATCTACGTAGCGTTAGGGATACCTAATATTAGGCGGGCAATTCCGCGCTTATACTCAATGGGCTGTACCTAAGTACGTCTTAGAGCGGGATTTGTGCTATTAACTCGTACTGGCTATATCTAAGATTAGTAGTCGGTTAGGCTTATTATAGTCAAAGGTCGTTAAGAAGGATAAAGATAAGCTAATTACTAAATAGTTTTTAGTTTAAGATTATATTATATAAATTAGAATTTCCCCCCGACAGAGCAATCCGCCGGGGCCGTATTATATATTCCGTATTAAAAAAAACTAAATATATTACGCTCTAAACTTAATTACTAACTAAAATAGCTCCCGACCTTTCGTTATTTATTTAGAGGGCGAGCTTGATTTATTTTAATATATATAAAACCTTTTAATTCGATTGATCTGTAGTTAAAAGAGGGGAAAGTTAAAAAGGTAAAAGGAAATCCGAAAGAAATAGTCTATTAAGACAGTAGGAGTATCTACTGATGCTATGTTTTTATACTGTGTTAATAATATCGAGAATCGCCCGAGCAGTACGTAAAAGTAGAATATTAAAACAAATAAAACCTTTTAATACTAGCCTATATAAGTAGCTAGGTTTAATATAATATACTCTTTTTTATTAAAGATTAAAAAACTTTTTATATAATTCTTTATTTTTATAAAATAGTTCGTATTTAAAGGGTTATTAACTTTATAAAATATAATTTCTAAATTAATATTAATATATTAAGTTTTAATATTTATATTAGCCCGGCTATTTATAGTATTTATAATATTATTTAATTAAATTCTATATTATTAAAAAGGATTATATTATTTTTTTAATATATTTACGTTAATTATAATAGCTAGGGTATCGAGGGGGCTTAATTTATTAAGCTTTAAAGGGGGAGACCTATTAAAGGGTATTATTAAAGTCCTAGTTTATTAATTACTAATTATATATTAAATATAGACTAGTATTTTATATATTAATAGGTTTATTTAATAGTTTACTTAGTTTAAATCGAGAGTCGTTTATAAATAATATAAGAAATAATAAAGATAAAAAGAATTTTTACGAGCTCTAAATAACTAAATATTAGCCTTTTTAGCCCTTTTTTAAAAAACTTTTACGTTATTATTAAAGTTTAGAACCTTTATAGTTAAGGGCCGTTTTTAACCTTTATAACCGACCTTTATAGTTAACCTTTCTAGCTATTATTATTATAAAATAACTTACCTATCCCGAATTATATTATTATAGCTAACTAGTTATAGTAAATATATTAATAAAAGTCAAGGCTATAAAAGCTAAGTAAATAGTATTATAATTATAAATAGCTTCTTTAAAACTATATTTATAAATTATAAAATAAATATAGCTTTAATAATTAATTATAGTTTTATTAAAAAGGGTTTTTAATAAAAATAACTAAAAGCGATTATAAAATTTAATATTAAGTTAATTATTAAAAAAGCTATAAAAAGTCTATTTTTAAACTTAATCTAAATCTATATTATATATAAGTTTTATTTTTAAATATATTCTTTATAATATTTTTATTTACTATTATTTAATTATTTATTAAACGGTTATCTATTCTATTTATTTATAATCGTCCGTTTTATTTATTGATAAATATCCGTTCTTTGTTTTATTATATAATTATAGTTATATAACTTATTTTATCCCCCCGACGGAGTAATCCGCCGGGGCCGTACCGTGTATTACGTATTAAAGAAAACTAGGTATATTATATTCTAAACCTAACTACTAACTAAAACTCCTGACCTTTTATTATTTATTTAGAGGGCGAGCTTTACTTATTTTAATATATATAAGACCTCTTAATACTAGCCCGTATAAATAACTAGGTTTAATATAATATACTCCTTTTTATTAAGGGTTAGGGGACCCTTTATATAATCCTTAATATTTATAATATAGCTCATATCCGAGGGGTTATTAAATCTATAAAATATAATTTTTAAATTAACGTCGATATATTAAATCTTAATATCTATATTAGCCCGGCTATTTATAGCGTTTATATTATTATTTAACTAGATTTTATATTATTAAAAGGTATTATATTACTTTTTTAGTATATTTATATTAACTATAATAATTAGGGTATCGAGGGGGCCTAATTTATTAAATCCTAGAGGGGGAGATTTATCGAGGGGTATCGTTAATAAAATAAGTTCTTATTAAAATAGTTAATTAACTAGCCGACCGCTTAATTAATTATTTAATTAATTATCTATTTAGCTAGTAGTTTATATATTAATAGGTTTATTTAATAGTTTATTTAGTTTATATCGAGTTTATAAATAATATAAAAAGTAATAAAAATAAAAAAAATCTTTATAAGCTCTAAATAGCTAGATATTAACCCTTTTAGCCTTTTTTTTAAAAACCTTTATATCGTTATTAAAGTTTAGAATCTCTATAGTTAAAGGCCGCCTCTAACCTTTATAAGCGACCTCTATAATTAACCTTTTTAATTACTACCGCTACGTAAATATATTACTTAGCCTATTATTAATAAGTAATAGGGTAGCTTACTTATCCCGAATTATATAGCGGTTTTTATATCGAAATTACTATATTAAATTAAGTACGTATTTAGGGTATATTATATACATTATATAATAAGTTTTGCTATCCGGGCAGTACTATTTAGCTATCCGGGCAATAACCTACTTTTCTAACTAATTAAAGCGTCTAGATTACTTAAGTTTTTTTTTTAACCTACGCATCCTATATTAGCTATAACTAATATAATTACTTTATACTCTATTTAAAATACTTAGACTACTTCTAACTATTTATATAAAATAATATAATTTAAAAATTATTTTAGCTTTTATTATAATAATCGAGAGATTTTATTAAATCTCGATTTTTTTAAAATCGTTAAAACTATTTTTAACTATAGCCTTTTATTAATTAATTAACTAAATTAGAGATTCTTTAGCACTATAAATATTAATAACTATTTAATATAATGTTTATTACGTTTTATCAATATAGAGATATCTTTTTTAATTATAATATAGTCCTAAATAGTTTTTATAGTAGCTCGGTTATTAATTTATTTTTTATATTATATTTAAATATTAAACGGTTATAACGAATATTTATTTTTATTAACTACGGGGCTAGGTTAATAGCTTTATAAAGCGGTCTAGGCTAGTTATAAAGTAAAGTAATAAGCCCGCTCGATAATAAGAAACTATTTAACGGGATATTATTTATAAATATAAATATTAAATTCGGGATCTTTTAATTACGTAGCTACCTATATAGACTAATAACGATATAGGGATCTTTAATTTATATTAAAGTATCGTTAAGATTTTAAAAAGGTTAATATATATTTTATAAATAGGATAGATAGATATATTAAGGGTTACTCGAGCTATTAACGTAAATAAATATTATACTTCGTTAACTAACCTCCGGGCGTTTTTAGGATCTCGAGGATTTTATAGTTATAGAGTAGTTTATATTAGTTTATAAAGCGCTTATAATAAAGTTAAAGACCGGGCGGGTTCTCGTTATTAAATAATAGTATTATAATAAAGGTAATATAGTATTAATAAACTATAAAATTTAGAGCTTTATATCCTATTTATTTAGTTACGTTACTAAGCTATAGTTAATAAAGGTATTTATAGCGGGTACGAGACTTTATAATAACCGTAGCCTCGATATACCCCCTTTTTTATTAATTAATATCTCGTTAATTATTTAGAAAATAATATAGAGGTTAGCGTAGCTAATAATAATATAAAACTTTAAGTCTTTATAAACGGTCTTAATAAACGAGTTTATATATATACCGAAGTTTTTATATTCGTTAATAAAGTACTAGGCCTATTAATAGCGGAAGGGGATATATATATTAGTTAGGTATAAAAAAGCTAGAGTTTAATTAACGAAATCCGCTTAGAGTTTTCTTTAAATAATATTAAAATTATTTTTTAAATCTATATAGAGTATATATATTTATAATTAATAAAAGCCCGTAGGTATATATTTAAACTCGGTAGCCTCGAGCTATTAAGTAATAAAGGATCTATTAATATATAAGATTTTATTAAATACTATAGTTTAAGGGTTATAAAAGAGGGCAGCGGTAACGGCCTTTTTCTTTTTATAGGCTAATATAAAAGCTTTAACGGATTCTTTATTTTTATTAACCTTAAACTTATTTTAAATTTCTATAGCGCCGTTACTTAGCTATTTACGTTTAACGTTAAGGTCTATATTTATATTAATATAAAAAATATAAAGTTAGAGTTAAATAGTGGGTAGGGCCTCGAGCAGGGCTAAGCGTAAAGTATTTTTAAAATTAATAATAGCTATACGTAGTATTTAAGTACTTAATTCCTATTGAATAGTATTAAAAGATTATATAAAGAAGTTATATAATTCGTAGCGTTTTAACGAGATAATAGTAAAAATATAATTAAATAGCGAGCTAGTATCTATAGTATTAATAACTTAAAAAAGAGGTATTTTAAATTTATTAGTTTTATATATATTATTAAAGTTAACTATTTATAGAAAGCGCTTCTATATTATTTTATATTATAAATAGGTTTATAATATAGCCTCGGGTACGTCGGGGTCTTTTTTATTTTAT